CCCCCGCGCCTGCTTGCCGCCCGGCCCGGCCGCCCGGAGCTCGCCATTGGGCCTCGCTCCCGGAGTCCCGCGCGGCGGCCGTGCTGATTGGCCGCTGGGACTTCATTCACGGCCCCCCTACCGTCCGCGTACACACTCACGCCTCGGGGGCGCGGCCGCCACGTGGGGAGTGGCGCGGGGGTGGCACTGGGACCGCACCCCCTCTCGTCCTGGTTGCGTGGGCCCGGCTTCTCCCAGCGCTGGAGACTCCGAGCCCGGCCGGTCCCGCATTCCACGCGAGCTGAATTCCCGCCTGCATTCCGCGCGGGCGGCCAGAGGCGGCGGCGAGGATTGCGGGCTCCGGGAGGCGCTCAGGCTCCGAGAAGCGGCTCAGCCCGGCTCTCCTTCCTCCTCAGAGCCGCTGCGGGCGGGCCGACATTCCCGCGGGTCCTGGAGGCTGTGAGCGGGAGGCGGCGCGGATTCCCGACTCGGTTGCGGTGCGGCTGCTCACCTCGCCAGCCTCGCCTCCCGCACCTTCCAGCGTGCGCAGAGCGCTCCTCTGCGTGGCGGCCCGGCCGGTCTCGGCTTTCGCTCTTCTCCCTGTCCAGTTCAAGCGTTGCAACTCCGCCGACCTGTGTGGCCATGAGAGCGCGTCTGGCCTGGGCAAAGGCAGGCTGATTGGGGCTTCACGCCTCCGGCGAGCGCCCCTTCTCCCAGGCACCCCGGCCGAGGTGAGTACCGCGGGTGGCAGCGGTTCTGCCAAGATGTGCGGCTCCATTTACGGGCCGCGTTCAAGGGTTCGGGGAGGAGAGGACGTCGAGGTGGAGGCTGTGGCTGTGGGGAAATTGCTGCCGCTGGAGTCGGGGGGTGGAGGGAATGAACACTGGGCCCAGCAATATCTGCCCCGCGCCGCAATATTCTTCTCGGCCCTTTTCCTCTCAACGTGAACCGCTTATTGGCCGATGTCACACTCGGGATTAGAGAGGGATGGACACAGGGAGGGCCTCTGGCACTGCTAGTGTGCAGACCGAGAGCTGTCCAGCCTCGCGTGGAGCCCTGGGCTAGAGTTTACTTGGACTGCCTGGGGCCGCTGAAGAGGGAATTGAGATTGAGGGGGCCGTGTTGGAAAGGTGCAGTGTGGAATTCAGCTACCTCTTCATCCCTTTAGCTCTTCTGGGGCTCCCTGGAGGATCCCGAGTGGAACCGTACCTCAGCGGCGGCCCCTATGTGTCTCTTTAGCTCACATCAGGCCCGGGCTTAGGGTAGTGAGCTGCAGCCTCTCTTCCCCACACTGAGGCTTGGGTCCCTGGGAGTCTTCAGCTGCCAGTCCTACTTTTTTACTCTCTTTGCTTCAGATGGATTCATTGATTCCAGAACTCTGGGGTCCCGGCTCACAGAGCTGAACTGAGGGCCTAGCGAGAGCCCTCCTAGGAAAATAAAAACTGTAAAATAAAGCCTTTATGTGTGAATAGAGGTGCTGGGGGCTCAGGTGGAATCTGCAATGGTGGTGATCTGAAGTTGGCTGACAAAGGTCACCATGGGCACAGACTATGCTCATCTGGGCCCTCAGTGCCCTAGGACCAGCTTCTGGTTAGCCCCCAAGGGAGGGAGTGGGACAGGGTCCTTCTCTGGCCATTGGCCACTGTCCTGAATAGGCTCATTAGGCCCCTTCCTCACTGTAGGAACTATGATGGGACCCTATATCTGAAGCCAGCTAGAGATGCTGGGCGTGGATGGACTCTGGCCCTGAAAGAGGTCACCTTGAGGCAAGCCAGGTCCCAGAGGTAGGACCAAGGGTGGGAATCTGGCATGAAGTCTCTCCTCTTATGCCAGCCTTAACCAGGCCTATGTGACATTGAAGCCTGGGCTTCTAACCTGGAGCTGCCACTATCTTCCTGGGCAGGAGTTTCTCTAGCCCTTGTTTTTCCTTCCTGTAAATTGGGAATAACTGTACCGTAGACAGCCCACCTGTCCCACTAATGTGAGTCAGATAGTGGTATGAAATAATGGGGGTGAAAGCTCTCAGAGCTTTTACTCTGGTTGTTTCTGTTGTTGCTGTCCAGTAAGTGGGCAAGGTATTCCCCCTCTTTAACAAAATCTCAGTGTCCTCCTCCATACACTGGGATTGTGGAGGTTTGGACCACTCAACTGATTTCTCAGGCTTTTGCTCTGATGGTTTGGGATTTCGTGCAACTATCCCTGTTCCTATTAGAGGAAGGGAAGTGTCAGGACAATGGGCAGGTGTTACGATGTCTAGTCTTTGGAATTGGCACTGAGGCTTGAAGAATAGTGATCAACAGGCATGGTGTTTTACAAAGTGCTTTAACATTCATCATTTTACCCATGCCTCTCAGCCCTATGGAGAGAGCACTGAGATTGTCATCCTCACTGGGTAGATGAGGGAACTGAGACTTGCCCCTAAGGGTGCAGGACCTGTGAGTTCCCATTTCTCATCATGCTCTTCATTGCTTTGGGATGGGGAGGATGCCTGTGGAGGCAGCCCCTTTGGCTGTCACAGCAAAGGGAGCCTGTGGTCCTGTTTCTGGTAGCTCTCAGGGGCAGCCTAAGACCCATAGGCTCCTTATGCTGTGTTTCTAGGTCTGTGCTGAATTGAAGGGTATCTGTAGCAGCCATAGCCAGGCTCCCTAGGTCACCACCTTGTCACCCAATAAATCAGAGCTCTAGTCCCATTACCCCCTTTGGCAGCCCTGTGACTTTGTCTCAGTTACTTTGCCTCTTGGAGCCTCAGTTTCTTCATCTTAAGATGAGGACAGTAATGCTTGCTTCTTAGGATTGCTTTGAGGCTCCAAGGATGAAATAAGGCATGTAATTTTGGTGCCCTTTAAATGTTAGATGCTGCCCTTGGGTGAGCAGCAATATGAATGAGGGAAGATAAAATTCTTCTCTCTGCTTTACAAAATTTTGACCCTCTATAAGGATAAAGGTTTGGTCTAGACTCTAGACCGGTTCTCAACCTGTGGGTCCTGACCTCTTTGTAACAATGGAAATATATCCTGCATATCAGATATTTACATTATGATTCATAACAGTAGCAAAATGACAGTTATGAAGTAGCAACGAAAATAATTTTATGGGTGAGGGTCCCCACAACAGGAGGAACTGTATTAAAGGGTCAGAGCATTAGGAGGCATTAGGAAAGTTGAGAACCACTGGTCTAGAGCCACAATTTTGCTTTGTTTAGAGTTAAATTTCCTGCAGGAAGTCTTGCATCCCCCTCACTCTTGTTCTTGGAGGTTCTGTATGGGACACTGGAGGCTGTGACATGGCCATTGGCAGGGCACGTGCAGCTAAACAACCCCTCCCTCTAGGAACACTACCTTCATAGACCCTGGGGAGAACTCGTCTTCAGACCCACAGCACACAGCCACAGGTGTACACATGGAAGTCAGACCCACCTGACCCATGCAGACACAGAATGGTGTGGGCATGGAAACAGGCGTGCGTTCACACCCATCCGTACATATGACACACAGGTGAAAACATGCAGTTTAGCACAGGGCCAAACACACAGATTCACAATAGGACACATGGACTTGCATATTTGGCCAAAAATTCGTAGTTGCCCAAACCAACACCCAGTGATAAATATGAGTGTGTATCTAAACAGGGACATACATGGCATCCCCACATAGACCAAAATAGGTTCAAGTAGATATTCTGTCAGTGACACAGAGGTACACCAGACCTGCTGGCCCTCGGAGCCACGAATACGGAGACGCTCAGCTGGCATGCCTGGTCACTCACATAGGCACACCTTCATATTCATACCCGTGAGCATGCAGAGCCAGCCAGATGCACAGATACAAAGACGTGTTCCCCATACAGTCTACACAGACACGTAGAGACACCCACATACCCTGTAGGAATTAACAGACCTGCACAAGGGATCAGAAAGCATAGGAAGGTGCTGTGTCCAGCCCAGAGTTTGGTTGGATGGTTCAACCTAATCCCGAGGAAACCGGGAATCCCTTTCTTTTCATATTTTTTCTACTCTCCTTGTCTGTGGAGGGCAGTTCCCAGCCAGGCTGCTGCTAGACTCAGAGCTCCCGGGCCTCCTTCCCCAGCGGGGCCCCAGCCCAGCCTGCCCCAGGCAGGAGCTGCTCGGGTTTTCCCAGAGCACAGCAGCCTGCTCCGGGCTCTGGAGTGTGACCGAGCGCCTGCTCATTTGACACAGGTCACCGAGCCTCCAGCAGATGGGGCCCTCACTGTGGGGGGTCTCTGAGCCAGGGGCTGTGGGAGGGTCGGGGTGGGATGGAGGCTCTGCAGGGATGAACAGGCACTATACATAGTCTGCAAAGCCTGGGTCACGGACACAAACCTCTGCCTTGGAGACTCAGACACGGGCTCTAGAACACAACCACACTCACAAGGCAGTTGCCATCAGTACCCTGGTGGCCACATATGTGTGGCAATATTCCAGACACATGTACCAGACCAGGGAGCCTACACAATGACGGGCTGAGCACAGATTTGGGAGGGAGAATGAGGCACAGTTCTGCTCAGCTCTCCTGGAGGCAGCTGGGTCTCTCTGCTTTCTGCTTTCCGTCTTTGGGCTCTGAGCCTCCAAGCTCCTTTTTTTTGAGGCAGAGTCTCACTGTGTT